CAGTATCTGAGATTTTGAGAAAGGCTATACAGCATAGTAGATAGAAATACATACTCTAAACCCAGATTGCAAATGATTCAATCTTACTTCCTGGCTATTAACTTGTAAGTTAGGCAAATTACCTAACTTGGAATTTTTTTTCCTGTGCTAATGAGAATAATGATGATGATGATGATGATGATGATGATGATGATGATGATAATAACAATAATAATAATAATGCCAACCTGATATGGCAGCTATGAGGATTAAATGAATTACTTGTACAAAAGGTTTAGGATAGTGCTTAGCATATGTTTGATTAATTTCAGCTATTATCATTACTCTAAAATATAGAATATAGGTTTCTTCATGAAAATAGAAGAACATAATCTAAATATTTTTTTTCTGTTGGAATGAACAACTCCCTCTTTCACCTATCAACAAAAACAAATACCCCAATCTCTACTCATAGCCAAGTCTGGTTGACTTAATTCTCCTTGTTTGTGAATCACCAATTATATTCCTCACTTTTTTAAAAAACAGATTCAACAACCAGGGAGTTATAAAGCCAAATCTATGTGCCAGTCACAATGTAAGCACGTGCACACACACACACACACACACACACACACACACCCTCATAAAACTCCTTTATGGTACATGCATTAATCCTGTTTTACAGATGAAAACACTGAGGTTGAGGAATATCGAACCTCTTAATCAAGGCTGTATAGTTAGTAAGTGGCTAAACCAAGAATGGAATCGAAATCTACTAATTTCAGGATCTGCTTCCTTTCACTACATATCACACTACTTGCCTATAATTTCCTTCTTCCTTTAACTCACCGGCATATAATTTATAGCAAAGCAGAACACAGAGGTGTTTCCTCATAGTATACCATTTGTTCTTGCCAAAGCACATAGTTCTGCAACTTCCCATTCCTGTTCCTTTAGTCTCAGGTCAATTGAATTTCCTTTCTGGTAGTAAGAAATGCAGTGCTTAGAGCTGGATTTCGAGTTCACAAGCGTTCCTTCTAAAGACGTCCTTTAAGTACAGGTTTTCAAGTGACTTTTGTGATATACTGCACATTCTGACAAATTGCCTGACATTGTGAAATATATTATTAAATTTTTTTTAAATTAAACATTACTTTGCAGTAACCCATAGAAAAGAAGTATAGATTTATTTTTTAAATTTTAATATGCTTATCTTTGGGGCTAAAGACAATGAAGAACTACAGCATGCAAGAAAACTTATTGGAAGAGAAGTTAACAAACTGAAAGGCCAAAGTATTGTTAAAGTCTTCTGCAGACAATGAAATTATCCAGAATTACGACGGACACAGTATCAGACTAATAACAGTGAGCCATGTGAAAAATACAGGCTAGTGCCTAGGAGAGGGAACAGCAAGAAGGAGGCATAACAGCACAGCCTGTTGCTATAAGCTTCGAAGATGGGGTTTTTAGGAAGGAGGAAGGGAGACCACTCTGGGAATGGCAATGAGGAGCAAGGAAGAAATCTATTCCAACTCCAGGTCCAGAGGCAAGAAGAGCAAGAGAGAGAAAACAGCCATCACCTATGAGGGCTGACAGGAAAATGAGATTCTTACAGATTTCAATTAGAAAATGACAATATAGGATATAAGAAATCAACATGCTTTGATAATGCAGCTAATATGCAATCATGTGATACTCATTTAAAAAAAAAAAAAGACCTACTAAAGATAATAGAACCTATCGGGCACACAGAGAAAACAGTCCATGTTGACTAGGTAATAATGATAATATTGGTATCTTGTACCTCATTTAGCAGCAATCATTCATTACTGAAAATCAGATATTCTGTATGAAATGCTAACAAAGAACCTATTTCCCAATATTTTAAATGAAAAAATTATAATTAATTATGCATCACCCAAAACCACTAACCAACTTCCTATAGTGTAACTAAAACATAGTAAAGCACCCATACATAAGAAATAAATCCCAGTATAGGATGTAAAATGATTAAAACATTACTTCCTGACCAAAAACAATCCCTATGGTTTACAGTTGCTTCATATGCAATAACATACTGCTCTTCCTCTTTGATGACATATGGTGCATTTTACAAATTGCCCACATGTGACATTCTACCAATTATATTGGGAATTCAACATAAGAATTTCCATATATTATCTTTTTAAATGTTGTATATGGCTTTATTAGATTTCTGGGCCATAAATACAAACTTTTCTTATATCAGCCAAAAGACAATAAACTGAGAGATGAGTACACTCTAGGATATTTGAGTATTAAAGATCAAGAGGTTTTCTACTAAAAAAACATTAATTGTGAAGTCATTCTGCTTCACAGAATAAACGTTTGCTTATTACATGTGTTCAATTGGGCTAAATGGCAGCTTTAGTGTGTAAACTTAGACAAGTTAACTATACCTTCTAAACATCAAAATTCTCATATTCAAAGTGGTAAAATAATAGTAGTCTCCTCAAGAAAGTTTTTGTGATGATTACAGGAAATAGTGCACATAAAGCAGTTAGCAGTGCCCTAGCATACAGCACATTCTCAACAACTGATTCCTATTATTTTTATTGTCTGTCTAGCAAGTCAAGTTGTAAAAATTTACACATGTGCTATCTTGCTTGATCCTTAAGACAAAACCACTTTGCAAATGAAAAGACAAATGCTTAAAAGAAGTAAAGTGACTTGTCCAAAGCTACATGGTTAGCTGGCAATAACCACCATAACTGGAACCCTAAACCAGAGGTTGGCAAACTTAGTCTTAAAGAGCCAGATGATAAATAATTTAGGCTTACAAGCCATCCCATCTCTGTCAACACTAGTCACCTAAGCCACTGCAGCACAAAAGCAGCCATAGATAATGGGTGGACAAATGGGTGTACCTGCGTTCAAATGACACTTTATTTACAAAAACAGGCAGTGGGCTGGATTTGGTTTATGGGCTGTAGTTTACAGACCCCTGCCCTGGACCTTTAAATTAGTAGTCCAATGCACTTTTTCACTACTTTATAGTTACTACCTGTTTTCGAATGGTGTTTTAGCCTATGTCACTTAATGACATTAACTGTCAGGAAAAATATAAATCAGAAATAAGTTGTAAGAGACCTATGAAAACAGTAAGATATTATATAAATATTAGTATTATTTTTTTCCCTCTTCTCCTGGCTTCTAAAATTCTCTCAATTCTCTCCTTATTTTTTCTCTTCCATTGAGGAAGTTTGGCCTAGAAGTACTTTTCTATCTCTCTAAAAGTACTCAAAGCAAATGTGTCTGCAGACTCTTATTCTAAAAGAAGTAGTGAATATGCCATTAGATACCAGAGTGAACAAATCACATCTTTTAAATTGGTAAGAAACGTGAACCTTCTGAATATAACTTGTGTGGGCATGTTGGGGGAGTAAAGTGAGCAATGGTAAACAACTACTATATTCTCAATTTCAAATAACAGAAATTATCAGTTTTGTCATTATAAAGGCCATATGGCAGGGTGATAAGGACACTGGACTTGGAATCGGAAGACCTAATTTGGAATTCTTTTTCTGCCACTTGAAATCTTTTTTATATAATGATCTACATGAAAGGAGTTTTGAGGATGAAGACAAATAACTACTTTAACAAATCGAGCATCATAAATTTATTATTGTTGCACTTGAAATTATAAACTCCTTAATCAAGTTCACTTCTATATTTTTAAAAGTTCAATATGATACAATATTGTACAAAATAGTACACTATGATTTATAAAGCATACAAAATATCTGCCGCTGAGTATAAAGAACATTTTTTGCCAAGGAGCTAAAATTTTTTTTTTTTTTTAATTTATGCCTACAGCACCCAGCCTTCCTAGGTGGTCTCCCATCCAAGTACTAACCAGGCCCGACCCTGCTTAGCTTCCAAAATCAGACAGGATCAGGCTTGTTCAGGGTGGCATGGCCATATACCATGGACTGTGGCTCCAGTAGGGTGTGAACCCAGGATCTTCTGCCTGTAAAGCAAACGTGTTAACTGCTACACTACAGAATCGTGTCCAGGAGCTAAGTGTTCTTTAAAAATATTCTCTCATTAAGCCAACAATATTCTTTTGAAATTAAAACAAACCAGAATTTATTGAGTGACGTGTGCTAGGCATTTTATATCATGCTACTCATTTAACCTTCACAACAACCTTAAGAAACTGAGGCTCAGAGAAATGAAATAACTTGCAGAAAATGTGAAGCTCCTAAGTGTAGACCTTGGATCCATACTCAAGTTAGACTGATTCTAAAGCTTGTGTTATTTTCCTTATATAACACCATCTCTTCAGCTTTTGACTTGGGATCCAAAAAGCTATGTGCCTCATATCAGGTCAAAGAATAATTACTTTCAGTATAGTAGAAGGCAAATCCTCAGATTCTGGGGCACTGTTCTACTAGATTAAGTCACCTCCAAATAACATAATATTTTAAAGGTAATTTTCAGACAATTCCTGCTTAATCTAGTTTTGGTCCCCCAAAATATGCTGGTACACAGAGTGAAACCAGTCTTTTTTCCCCAGTAGCTAAAGAAATTAACATATTATCAACTTTAAGCCTTAAATGTGCAAAGAAACAGTTCTAGAATTTTGATAAGAGAAAAAAGTAAACCAATGAATATGTTTCCTGAAACCCTAATGGTATGTTAATAAATGTAACAGGAACATTTCCACTGGAAATGCCTAAAAGTTATTGCTTCCAGAAAGCAACTGCTTTCTCAATCATTTTTTTCCATGAAATTTAAAGAAACTATCACAAAGCAAAACTGGTGACTCAAGTGCTTCTGAAGAACTAAGTCTATAAATCAGAAGCTTTGTAGTCTTGACATTAAATATAATATACAAAATGAGGAAATAAAAGTATATTAAATATTGTGTAAGTCTATGGCCCCTCTCCCTCTATTTAAGCCAGTCTGGTCCTTGAAAGCAAGAGTCTTTTTTTCTTGGTAAAATAAAATTAACTTCACCTCTACCCTCTACTGCTTACCTGTTGCAGAGTATGCTGAGGGCTCCGTGTGGACTACATTCACATGGCAGACAGAGCCCAGAAGTGTGATTCAGGTAAAAACCCTCTTTGCAGGTTTCACAGTGAAGCCCCTGAAAACCTGGCTGACACTCACACTGCCCTGTGGTCTGGTTGCAGTGACTCACATCCAGGCTTCCTACCGCGGAACAGTTACACACATATTCTGCAAAAGAAAGAAGGAAAGCTATATTAATTAAGATTTAATGCTTTCTTAATAAAATGAACTATTTTTCTTAATAGATGCTCATGACAATTTTGTGAGGATGAATAAAATAAATTCTAGTTTGAATTCACTTTCTAGCTCATTTAGTTTCAATTGGGAAATATATGCAGTAAAGTACATAAAACTATGTATCACTCATAATTGTAAGACTAGTCTCAATTTCCTTTCCAGTACTCTTCACCTTCTAGCTCTTTGACCCTATGCTCCAATGTGTGGGGGTCAGTTTTTCTGGACTGGAAATAGGCCATATAGATGGCCTATGCTCATCTATATGACAGTGAGAGCACATGCTGGAAATGACATGTTAAATAATAAATAATCCCATTGTATACCTGCAAAAGCCTAAGGCTCAGATGGTTTACTGTGATAACTTATATAGGTCAGACGAGATTGTGCTACAGCTAGAAGCATAAGCTAATATATCCTTCTCAGGAAGAAATTAATAGAGAATTGAAACTTTAAGGAAATGATGAGATAAAGCCCAGATGAGGAATTTTACAAGATCATCCCGATCAGTGGATTAAAAACAATCACAATTTTAATCTTTCCCAAATTTGAATCTCTTTCCCAAATTAAAAGATTTAGAAAACAAACATTTTCTTTAGATTCATTTCAAACAGTTCTTTGGATGGAAATATTTAGTCCTTGCCTTTAGCCTTTTAATGCAGGTACATTTAAAGGTCAGTTAGGATTTGGTTTTTGCTATTGTTTATACTCATTTTATCAGAAAGAAAGTATTTTCAACATAGTCTGACACAGTAGCAACATGAGACTTTGCAAACATATGCAAAAACTTGTAGTTAAAATCAACTGCAGATAAAATAAAACCCTGTACATACTTTAGGAATAGCCCCCATTCCAAAATAGCTATGAACCTAGGTTTAAAAAGCCTAGAGAAATCTATGATACAAATTATACTTCTGGATAGATAAGGCACTATACAAAATGGCATCATATTGATAAAAGTTTAGCTCGGAAAAATAATCTTTAATGTAATTGTTGATGATTTAAAAAAAGTTACTAGGTAACTGTAAATCCAGAGTCTTAAATAGAAGGTTCTGAAGAAGTTTGTTTCTCAATTCTAGAAAAGGAAATTAATCTTCGAAATTCTTTATGTCATCACAAGCTGCTTAACCACACAAATCAAAAGAAAGGATCCCACAAAGATATTACCACTTGGCCAACTCTATACAGGTTCTATACCTCCCACATTTCTTCCATTCATTTCCGTATCAGCTTATCTCCTGTTCTTCGCACCTCTTCTAATTTGTAAATATACCATATGAATAAATCTGTAAAGGTGAGTGATTATTTTAGATATATTTCAAGCTGAGTGGTGAGTTAGTTACAAAACCTAGAGGAGAGTTCAGATTTCCTCAGCCCCAAACTTCGGAAAGCAATCGATATTCTTATTTTTACTAGGCTATGTAAGCATGACTTTTCTTTGACAGAATTACATGTTTTCACTTTTAAGAAAGTGTGTGTGTGTGTGTGTGTGTGTGTGTGTGTGTGTGTGTGTGTGGTTTTTATAAATAAGAAAGCCATGTTTAGTGGTCTGTAAACTTGCCAATTACAACTTCATGGGCAAGACCTTTACTGCACCAAAAAAATGACCAGAACGCTTAAAATAACATT